GATGGTATTTAAATGGGGGAAACACCACTTTGATATTGGGATGAAGATTACCAATAAAAGGAGGATTTAAGGAATATTATCAACAATAAGCTGAATCTTGAAAGTTATGTTTTTCTTCAAACAGTACTTCATTTCACTGGCATAGCAATTCAAGAGGGTATCGTAGAAGAGGGGCTGGACCGTCCATGACTTACTGCTCCTGTAGTGCACTGATAGTGTGTGCTTATTAATATGCTCCAAGGCCCTGTGGTTCCCACTGTGCCAGATCACAAAGGGTTTTAATTTGTAGCTTGCAACATTATCTCCAAGCAAGTTAACTGCTACCCTGCTGGCCTGATCACCCCCAACCATACCCCTGCTGGCCTAATCGCCCCTAACTGCCCTCCCCTGCTGGCCCAATAGCCTCTAACTGCCTCTGCCTCAGCCCACCACAGTGGCTTTGTCCAGAAGGACCTCTGGAAGATGTCCGGTCTAATTAACATATTACCCTTTTATTAGTATAGATAGTTCTTTTCAAGAACTCAGTGGTGTCAACATGTAAAAGGATAAACAGTTTATGGTCTAGCCACACAAGAGAATAATACTCAGTATATAAAAAGGAATGAAAAATTGATATAAACCACAAGATGGATGAATCTCAAAATAATTAAGCTAAGTGAAAGCAGCTAGGCAAAAAAGATAAAAGGAAAAAGAAGCATACTGTATTATTTCATTCATGTAAAATACTACCAAATGAAAACTGAAATGGATTGGTAGTTGTCTGGGAAGGAAATATTGGGGAGGAGCAGGGTGAAACTTGAGGGAAGATGGATATGTTCACTATCCTGATTGTGGTGATGATTTCAAGGGAACGTGTTTACATATGTAAAAATTTATTGATTGGGCCCGGGTGAGGGGGCTCAATCCGCCGCCTCCACCACCGCAGCTGCCTCCTCCGGGCTTCAGTTTCAGTGCAGGTAGCGGCCGCTGCCAGGACAACTACGCTGCCGAGCATCCCCAGGCAGTGAGGACAAGGAGGCTCAAAGAAGTCAAGCACCTGTTCCAAGATCATATAATGTGTTAATGTTGGAGTTCCAGTTTGAAGCTGTAGTTCCTCCATAGTAGGCACATTGGGACTTGACAACTATATCCAGTCCTTGCCAAATACATCCCATTGTCCACACATCCAGTGTGAGGCCCCTCCAGGTACAAGGTGGGCCCCATGGCTGAGAAGTGTGACTGCCACTGCTGCAGGGACCCCCTGCGGGGGAAGAAGTACGTGGAGAAGGATGGCCACCACCGCTGCCTGAAGTGCTTTGACAAGTTCTGCGCCAACACCTGTGTGGAGGGCCCCAAGCCCATCGGTGCGGACCCCGAGGAGGTGCACTACAAGAACCGCTGCTGGCACGACACCTGCGTCCGCTGTGCCAAGTGCCAGCACCCCTTGGCCAACGAGACTTTTATGCCCAAGGACAACAAGATCCTGTGCAACAAGTGCACCACTCGGGAGGACTCCCCAAGTGCAAGGGCCGCTTCAAGCCAATCGTGGCAGGAGATGGGAATGTGGAGCACAAGGGGACCGTCTGGCACAAAGACTGCTTCACCGCAGCAACTGCAAGCAAGTCATCGGCTCTGGAAGCTTCTTCCCGAAAGGGGAGGACTTCTGCATGATTTGCCATGAGTCCAAACTTGCCAAGCTCTGCGTGAAGTGCAACAAGGCCATCCCATCTGGAGGAATCACTTACCAGGATCAGCCCTGGCATGCCGAGTGCTTTGTGTGTGTTACCTGCTCTAAGAAGCTCTCTGGGCAGCGTTTCACCGCTGTGGAGGACCAGTATTACTGCGTGGATTGCTACAAGAACTTTGTGGCCAAGAAGTGTGCTGGATGCAAGAACCCCATCACTGGGTTTGGTAAAGGCTCCAGCGTGGTCACCTATGAAGGACAATCCTGGCACGACTACTGCTTCCACTGCAAAAAATGCTCCGTGAATCTGGCCAACAAGTGCTTTGTTTTCCATCAGGAGCATGTGTACTGTCCCGACTGTGCCAAAAAGCTGTAAAGTGACAGGGGCTCCTGTCCTGCAAAATGGAATTGAGTCTTGTTATTTGTGTCCTCGCCCTCTGCCCTATACTACCCATAGGGAAAGAGTGGCCTTTCACCTCTTCAAAGTTCTTCCTGTCTTTTCTCCCATTTTACAGTATTACTCAAGTAAGGGCACAGTGATCATTCTAGAATTTAGCGAAACCAACTCTGCAGCAAAGTTAATTTTGCAATGGCTGCATTAAAAAATGATCACTTAGATCGACTCTTCTGCATGTTTATCATAGAGCAGAAAAGTGCTAACCATTTAGCTGCTCAGTGATGTAAGCAACAAGCCTAAGCAATAGAGCCCCCACTGAGATGCCCTCCGTGACTCAGCTGGGACCCACCGTGTCTTCACACAACACACAAGAGTTGTAGCGGCTGCTTCAACTCGCTGCTCACCCTGTGTTCTGTGAGCAGAAAGAGAATTTACTGAAATGCAGGGTTTAACTTCCTCATCAAAACCTTCCTTCTGTTCTTTGGTGCTTTGATCGACTAATACCAATTTCTAGAAAATTAACATTTGAACTTAGCTGTGATGCTAAACTGACCTTTCCCCCGTACTAACATTTGAGTTCCCCGTGTGCCGTGTTTTCTAAACGTTCCTACTTTCAAGCACGGAACATGCAGGTGATGTGGAAAGTGTAGGCAGATCTGAGAGAAGGAGCCTGTTTCAGAGGAACACCGTCACAGTGAATACTTCTGGAAGCTTAATAAAACTAACCCAGCTGTTGGGTGTGTTTTTTGATTAATACTATTTTATTTTAATTAATTGCAACACAGACTATGGGTTTGGAGACTTGCATGAAAACATTTTAGCCCCCTCGAACGTTCCTGCAGTTTGAAGTCATCCTATAGAAGTAACCATAAATCTCTAGAGGGGTAGCTGAGCAGGCATCAGAACGGTCATTGACATGGATGTGACATTTCCAAACAGTGGCAAGTTGAATCCCTTGTAACATAGTAGTGGTTGCTCTTTTGTTGATTTGTTAAAGAGGCTCACCAATGTCTCTTGCAATTCTTAGGACTGTTCCTCAAGAGCTTAGCTTGATTTCTCGGGGAGTGGGGAGGTCACTGTCCTCATAGGCAGATTTCCATGTAGTGCTTGCCTGAGATGCCGGATCACCAACTTTCTGTATTCTATCTAATTGTTATCCTATATAATAAAGAGCTAATATGCAAATGGTCATCATGCCCTCACACAGTAATGGCTCAGACACTCAACATTGGGGAGAGAGGAATGGGGACCAGCCAGGCTGTGGCCTGGGAGAGGGACGAGCCGCACACCTTGAGGTCCCAGGTGCCAGCAGCTGTACCTGCGCCTGTGGCCCAGGAGAGGGACAAGGCATCTGCCCCGCAGTCCCAGGTTCCAGCACCTGCAGCTATGGCCCAGGCAAAGTGGCCCGCCCACGGTCCCCTGTGGCTGTGGCCAGCCCGGGTCCTGGGTACCTGCAATCGGCCAGAGGAGGGAATCCTGGGTCCTAGGTATGGGGCGAGGCAGAGGAGGTTAGGGGTGCTCAGGCCAGCAGGGGAGCAGTTAGGGGCAATCAGGCAGGCAGGCAGAGATGGTTAGGGGTGATCAGGCAGGCAGAGGTGGTTAGGGGTGATCAGGCAGGCAGAGGGGTTAGGGGCGATCAGGCTGGCAGGCAGGTGAGCGGTTAGGAACCAGCGATTCCCAATTGTGAGAGGCAGTCAGACATCCCTGAGGGGTCCGGATTGGAGAAGAACCCCCCTCACCCATGAATGAATTTCATGCACTGGGCCTCTAGTATTACATAATAGAATGGGATGATATCAAAGTGAACATGTAATGACAATTCATATTAACATTCTTATAGCTATGGTTAGAGAAGCCAATGCCTCATTTCTACATTTTGTCATTAGCTAATATCATCTAACATTTCGGTGTAGCCTTACAGAAATAAAAGTAGCATATAAATAAATAAAACTTATTGATTGTGCACTTACATATGTTTAGTTTATTATAAATCTGTTAATATAAGAAAATGTCTCTTGTTTTTCTAGGAATGATAGAGATTTTTTAAAAATAAATTGGTGCTAGATTATGTGTCATAGGATGCAAAGGCTAAACTGTGGGAGAAAGTAGTAAAAACATTGAAAATAGAATATTTCTAATTCCATTTGTTTCTGTTCAATATTTCAATACCTGGCTCAGTTTGTTTTAGAATTGATTGTTGTTTGTTTTTGATCCTGTATGTTTCTGCACTATAGCATAGTGTAACAGAATTAAGAAGAGTTCATCAATAAAAGGTTTGTATTTTAGTGAAAAAAAATCAACTATTTTTCCCTCTGGGCCATCCTACTCATGAATCTAACAAATACAAAATAAAGGTATTAAGCTATCCTTTGGTAGAGAAAAGTTGAAAAAATAACTAATTCAGGAACTGATACTTAATTGTAGACTAGGTCACAGAAAAGACCACCCAATTTCTAATTACTTTCTAATGTGAAGATATGGGGTGTGTGTGTGTGTGTGTGTGTGTGTGTGTGTGACCAGCGAGAGAGTCTGGAGAGAGACCACGATTTCAAAGACCACCAAGTGATCACCTTTAACATTGAGAATGTGCGTTTGGCTGTTTCCCATGCACGCTTCCCCTTTATTGCCCTCTCTCTGCAGTTGGGCAACTCTTCTCTGTTCTATCTTCTATGCAGTTTTAGGAGGGCGAGGGAATGATGGCACTGATGTAGAGAGGGTTCCCAAGGTTTGGAAAGGAGCAAAACTTTAAAATAAAAAAAGAAGAGGGACCAAAGGCTGGTTGGGAGGCTTTGGACAAGCTAAGTGAAAAAACGTAGAAAGCCCTAACCGGTTTGGCTCAGTGGATAGAGCGTCGGCCTTTGGACTAAAGGGTCCCAGGTTCGATTCCCGTCAAGGGCATATACCTTGGTTGTGGGCACATCCCCAGTAGGGGGTGTGCAGGAGGCAGCTGATCGATGTTTCTCTCTCATCTCTCTCTCATCGATGTTTCTAACTCTCTATTCCTCTCCCTTCCTCTCTGTAAAAAATCAATAAAATATATTTTTTAAAAAAGAAAAAAATGTAGACAGAGATAGAGTCAAAACTTTTGTTATAAAGGTATCAGGCAACTGGGCCCCACTTTCTCTAAAGAGCTCTACAGTCAGCTAATACCTGTTCTCAGGGCTCTCATAGTTTGCAACCAAGTGAGGAAGAATAGCTTAAATTCCAGAAAAGAATTCAAAGGTGGGCTCCTCCCTTTCTTCCGGAGCCTTCAAATTCACTGTGCTCTCAACAAAGTCGCCTTCTTCTGACATATACTGTTTGCAGTTAATATGCAGCTCTCGGCAAAAGCGTTTCCCTTTTGTATATATACACAGGTGTCTGAAGGATTCCTCTGGGAAAGAGCTCTGAATCTAAACCTGTAGGTGGGGACACAAAAGAAAAGTAGATTACTGCCACCTTGTGGCAGGAATGTGGTCCTGTCTCAAAGTTTCAAATCTGTAATAAAAGAGGGAAGGAAAACTCCAAGGAAGGGTAGTCTCCAGAGGAGACTCTCAGAAGTCCCCAAGCTTCTCTCTGGCAAGAAGAGCACATTGTGGGGAGTGCTGCGGCAACTTCACTAGTGGGTTCAGCAAAGAAGGGAAAACTTACACGTTGGGCATCAAAGGAGAGCCATCCTCCCAGCTCCATGAGGAGCTTGGTTTCCTCTTACTTAACCCCGTCCAGAATGGGGCGCTGGAATGAGCAGTGAGTTGTTTGATGAAGTCCTGTGGGGAGCAACATTTCTGAGTTGGTGTTGGAGTTCAGTGTGGTTTTACAGAGTCACAAAGCTAAAGAACCAAAGGAGATCTTTGACATCTTCTCGGTGGTTTTACAGAAAGGTTTACTGAAAACTGTAGATACTCCATAACCTGTCCATCAAAGGTCATGTATGGAATTCATGGCTAGGCTAGTACATAGGTATTCTGATTCTCAAACAAGGGCTCCTAAACCTGATTTATTTCCCTCTAAACCAGTGGTTCTCAACCTTCCTAATGCCACGACTCTTTAATACAATTCCTCATGTTGTGGTGACCCCCAACCATAAGATTATTTTCATTGCTACTTCATAACTGTAATGTTGCTACTGTTATGAGTCGTAATGTAAATATCTGATATGCAGGATGTATTTTCATTGTTACAAATTGAACATAATTAAAGCATAGTGATTAATCACAAAAACTATATGTAATTATATATGTGTTTTCTGATGGTCCAAAGGGGTCGCGACCCACAGGTTGAGAACCATTGAGAGAAACCAATATACCACCCTAACACACATCCATAAAAACTCACCAGATCATATGTGCTATTAATTATCAGCATCTGGGCATCCAAAGACAAGCAGTTCTCCCGGCTTTTTTCCCAATTAAATAAACTAGGGGAAAATTGGTAACAGTTTTTTTCATGCCAGAGCCAATCTTGGGGACAAGGACCTAGGAAGTGTAGAATATCTCATCAGTGGAGTTATGCCTGAGGAAAATATTTCCATAATTCTTTAAAAACATTTTTTCCTATAATTCTTAAATCAAGTGTCCCCTCAGAATTCATACCATCTCTTCTTAGATTATACCCAGAGTCTGCAAATACCTCCCTTTTCTGAAGCAAAAGAAAAAGCAATCTGATTTTAGTAAACTAAATTAGAAGTAAGGCTGCTAAAAAGCAAAGCTTGGGCCGTGATGTCATTTTAGAATCTGCTCTATTTTTTTAAAGTTAAGTTTGGAATAATGGAAGTGAACAGTAGGGAAATGAATACTTAATAGCCAGTCTGCTATTAAAAGTTATGCTTATGTATTTTAAAACTCCATGTCTTTGAATAGTGGGTTTAGGCTTAAATACTATGCCTCCTTATTTAAGACACATGCTGTATATGTAGTAGCCCATAGGTGGCTCTTGAGTACTTGAATCATGGCTAGTCTGCATTAAGATGTGCTATTAGTGTAAAACACAGGCATGATTTTGAAAATTTAGTATGAAAAAATCATATGAAATATCCCATTAGTAATTTTTATACTCACTAGTGTTCAAAAACTATTTCATCCCTAGCTGGTTTGGTTCAGTGGATGGAGCGTCAGCCTGTGGACTGAAGGGTCCCAGGTTCCATTCAGGTCAAGGGCACATGCCGGTTTGCAGGCTCGATACCCAGTAAAGGGTGTGCAGGAGGCAGCCGATCAATGATTTTCTCTCATCATTGATATTTCTATCTCTCTTTCCCTCTACCTTCCTCTTTGAAATCAATAAAAATATATTTTAAAAAGTAAAAATAAAATGTTTAAAACATTAAATTTAAAAATAAGAGCTATTTCAAATATATTGGGTGAAATAAAATGTTACTAAAGTTAATTTTATGTTTCATCTTAATTTTTAAGTGTGGTTACTAGAATATTTAATGTTGCATATGTGACAATACTATATTTCTATTAAATAAAGATGTTTTAGCCCTAGCTGGATTGTCACAGTGGGTAGAGCGTCAACCTGCAGCCTGAAGGGTCCTGGGTTCGATTCTGGTCAAGGGCACATGCCCGGGTTGCAGGCTCTATCCCCAGTGTATGGCATGCAGAAGGCAGCTAATTAATGGTTCTCTCTCATCATTCATTGATGTTTCTATTTCTCTCTCCCTCCCCCTTCCTCTCTGAAATCAATAAAAATATATTTAAAAAATAAAGTAAAGTTACACTTTAAATAAAAAAAATAAAGATGTTCTAGGGAGAACAATATATTGACATAAAGTGAGCATCTTAATTTCAGTAAGATTTCAGAAAACAGGGAGTTTTCAGTTGCAAAATCCTCAGAGTCCAAAAACCTCAACTGAAGACTTAGGCAATAGGCAATATTTGTCAATGTCTGTGTGTTAGTTAACAACACCTGGCATTCACCAGGACTTTCCTCCCTAGCTGCCCTGGCCCTTCACCCCTGTGGTTCTCACAGGCATGGCCACCAGCCCCGGCAGTTAGCCAGGATATATTTTTTAAATAAGTTTTTTTTAATTGATTTCAGAGAGAGGAAATGAGAGGGAGAGAGGGATAGAAAATTAGTTATCCATGACTGGCATCTCTGGGAGATGGCTCTTCATGGTCCTGATGTAAATTTAATCCCATGCAACTGATAAAAACAAAAATGTTTTTATAGATCCACCTGTGAAATAAATCTTTGGCTGGAATGTAGCTATGTCTGCTTATATAAACATTCGTATCCTTGATATACTAGCCTTCTTCCTTTAAGCCTTCTTTGACATGGGGTATTCTTTTATTTCCTTGATAACTCCCTTCTTAAAGAGATTAAATATGTTTGACAAAAGCTAAAGATTATTTTGTCTAAAAATTTCGGCTGATTTTGGAAGTTTAAATAACCTTATACCCTGCCAGTTTTGTTCAGTGGTTGAGCATCAACCTATGAACCAGGAAGTCACGGTTTCTTTCCCAGTCAGGGCACATGCCTGGGTTGTGGACCTGATCCCCAGTAGGGGGAAGAGGGGTCAGTGCAGGAGGCAACCGATCAATGATTCTTTCTCATCATTGATGTTTCTATCTCTCTCTCCCTCTCCCTTCCTCTCTGAAATCAACAAAAATATATTTAAAAAATTAAATAACCTTATAAATGTTAAAGGGATTAATAAACTGCAAAACTTTATACAAAAGAGGTTATTATCATTTAACTTATCTGGGTTTCAAGTTTTCATCTATAAAATAAAGAAATCTGTGGCTATCTGTGGACTGTTATTACTTAATATCTAAAGAAATCACATGGTTAAGATTAACTGAGCTATACAAGCAAGAACTGGAGATATCTTTTTTTACTAGTGGTAGTTATTAATGCTTAGAGTAGGACTCATTCAATGCCTTCAAGGAAGCAACATACTTCATTTCACACCCTCTAATTCTCCTTATGATTAAAAGCATATGCCCAACTTAATTACATATTATAGGAAGGCAAAATAAATCAGATAATTTCTGTAACAACCTGAGTTCACATTGTCGTCTCCTTCTTGTAGATCCTACTATTCCTACCCGCCTCCTAGAGTCTGAGTCCATTATATAGCTGAGATCAATTCAATTCTTCTCATATAAACTAATTTCCTGGGCTTGTTATATTTTTGTCTAATTTGAAGTATCTACCTAACACTTCCAAGCCAGTGTAGCTTCATTGATTCAATTTAAATTGATGTAGTACACTTTAAGAAATTTTGCCATAGAACAAAGCTAATGCAGAGGTAGGAGTTCCAGGGACAAAGGAGATTGTTTAGGAAGAAAAAACAATGACTGAGATACATTGGAAAGCAGATAAGAATCTGTGGCAAGGGGTAAGGGAAGAAGGATTCTTCCAGAAAAATATCAAAACTAGAATTTTAAAATGGAAGAAGACTCTTATGAGGAAAGCAAACTTAAATTCAACAAAAGTATGCTTAATGAAATCAGGCATCTCAAGAACTTGAGGGAGGATAGGGTGGGGATGACAGAAATAGAGAACTTCTGGTGTAGAACATTATGAAATGAAGTTATAACATTATGTAAATAACTAGAGGCCTGGTGGATGGATTCGTGCACCGGTGGGGTCCCTCGGCCTGGCCTGTGGGGACCTGGCCAAAACCAGTTCTCCTGAGGGGTCCTGGACTGCGAGAGGGTGCAGGCCAGGCACCGGGCCTCTAGTATGCATATAAGATCTTTGATTAATCTCTTCCCACCCTCCCCACTTCTCTCTGAAATTCATCAGTCTGTTCCATGTTTCCATGCCTGTGATTTCCGCTCCTGCGTTGATCACCTGCCCCCCTGGTGGTCAGTGCACATCCTAGCTACTGGGCAGACAGTGGAATGGTTGGCCAGTTGGCTGGTTGCTTAAGCTTTTGTATATATAGATGATACATATATCAATATGCCAATTTTGTGCCTAGAGGCTTTTCCAAAAGAGAGTTAAGATTAATTAGAGGAGCTTCCAACTTTATACCTGAAAAATTTGCTGCCTTTTTCAGAGCTTCTTGGAGATTGAGGTTCTGGTGATGAAGTTCCATTTGTTTTTTGGATTGCTCTTCCAGCTCCTGGGTAAGGTTTTCATTCATTTCCTTGAGTTTCCTCTGTAATTCACGGAAAGCCTTTTCCTCCTGTTTCTGGGCTAAACTCTGTCCCTCCAGTATATTTTCCTGGTGAGTAAGGTTTGCTTGCTGTTGCTTTAGAAGATCAGACACCTGGGATACTAAATTACAGCTGGATTAAGACAGATTTCATTTCTAATCCCCAATAAAAGTCCCTCCACTAGATATTTAAGAAATCAAAGAACTAAATCAAATAATCTATTTTGATAACAGATAAATTTCTGTAGAATGACCAAAAGTTACTCAAACATTATGGATTTGAAAGTTCTTTGATATTCCTAGAGTATTTTTTTTTATATCAGGAACTGTCACAGACACTTGTGATAAAAAAAAATCATCAAGGTTTTACTTGTTACTGAGAGTTACACACAAGTTAAAAGCAATACCACAATAAGTATCAATGGCACTAATAAAATGTAGACAATCTAGAAATAGTCACCAACCAGAATTAATGACTATTAGTAGGAAAATCATTAATCATTTACTATATTTGTGTCTTCATTCTTCTGTCATCTCTTTCTACATTTTCTAGACTTCCTGATTTTATTCAAGAACTAAGATGCCCTTTTTTGAGACACCTTCCTGCAGGACTATTTTAAGTGGCTATGTCACAAGAGTCTCAAACTTTTTTTTTTTTTTTTGCCACAGCATATTTTAGGAAGGGTGGAGATGCAATAAAAGTTGTGAAATCAAACAGGCAAAAAAAATGTTAAGGGTCAAATATCTCAGTTCTAGAAGCTTGATGATTCAGTAACAAAGCAGTCTCCTTGCCTTGCAGGCCAGGTTTGAGCTTGTTGTAAAGTAATCAGAGCCTCAGAGTAAGACTCTTCCGATCACCACCACTGGTCAAAGACACTTCTCCCATCATCAGGAATGGCCTAAGTGTTACAGCGATTGAAATGTAAATGGTTGTGACCCTAAACAACAATTGAAAAACAAATAGTACTTGAAAAGCCTTAATACCTGGGTCTAGACAGCCGAAATAACTCAGATCTACAATCTCAATACACAGGCGGATGAAGTGGGTACTCGACAACATTTTCTTTCCTTCTTGGCCACTTTCATCCTTCTTTCATTTCTTTTCCCCAGAAATAACCTCTTTCCAATATATCCATACAAGAAATTTGAAGTATTTTATTAAAATGTTGTACTTATTAAAATTCTGTTTCCAATTCTTAACTTTAAATAGGTATTTAATCATCTCTATTAAAACTCAACAGGAGCTAAATGAGGTTTCTTTTACTTTTGGGTCTCTTAGATGATCTTGTGGATAATTAACTTCAAATTATTTTCGCCCTCATTGTTTTAGGATTTACGTAGGCTCTATCCATGAAGCTATGAAAATTACTCAAAACAAAAACCTACAATTCATAATCTTCATTCCATGCCACAATTTGAGAGACTAGCACAATATACCCATTCATCTTCCCACACATTCTAAAAACAGTTTTCTTAAAATGTATCTAAGTCAAGGTTGTTTATAGGTATTCTGAAACCAATTTACAAACCATGTTTATAAACTCTCATCTTTTCCCTCCTTCACTTCCTTGTGTCGGCACTTACATTGCACTGCCAGCATTACGATGGTCACCAGTAAACCCAGACAAAGGATCCCCAGCGTCACAGCCACAGGGCACCACCGCTGAGAAGAAAGACAACGAAGACCTAGAATGACAGAGAACAGAATCAGAAAAACAGAAAAGATGGAGGCAAGTAATCAAATCATTCTTTGGGTCTTGTCTACTGGTATACCTGGTACTTTGCATTGCTTACTTTTAGTCCTCCCAAAGACTCTGCAAATAATGCACTACCCATATTTACAGATGAAAAATCTGGACAATTAAAGAACTTAAATAATTTCTTCACTGCCACACAACTGACACAATTGAAGATCCAGGATTCAATACCAGATATTTGACCCTAAGTATCTGATTCTAAAGCTTATACTTTGTCTACTCCCCCTGACAATGATATTCTCAGTCCAGCTTGGTTGGGTCAACTTGTTTTCAATGTAGGCCAAATCTGTGTGTGCGTGTGCACACACGCGCGCATGCACGCAAACACGCGCGCACACACACACAGTGTTTTATAAAACACTAGAGGCCCAGTGCACAAAATTTGTGCACTGGGGGGGGTATCCCTCAGCTCAGCCTGCATCCTCTCCAATCTGGGACCCCTCGGGGGATGTCTGACTGCTGGTTTAGGCCTGATCCCTGTGGGACATCCCTCTCACAATCTGAGACTGCTGGCTCCCAACTGCTCTCCTGCCTGATTGCCCCTAACTGCTTCTGCCTGCCAGCCTGATCACCCCCTAACACTCCCCTGTCAGACTGATCACCCCCAACTGCCCTCCCCTGCCAGCCTGGTCGCCCCTAATTGCCCTCCCCTGCTGGCCTGGTCACCCCTAACTGCCCTTCCTGCTGGCTTGATCACCCACAACTGCCCTCCCCTGCCGGCCATCTTGTGGCTGTGGGCACCACCATCTTTGAGGATGTGGCAGTCAATTAGCATATTCCCTCCTTATTGGCTGTGGGCGCCGCCATCTTTGCAATGGCATGAAGGTCAATTAGCATATTCCCTCTTTATTAGGATAATATATATATGAATATCTGATGTTAAGCAAATAAGCTTTAATCAATTAACTGGTATCATCTCAAAGAATTACAACATAATTTTGTGCTATTCAACTCTTCATTAAAATTACATCTTGGAACTGAGATTACTGGGCAAAGAAAACTGGAAATGAAACCTCAATATTCATTTGACTTATATTAATTCCATGTTCTATATTTACACCAGCTGTGGCCCTGTTGTTATAAGAAAAATATTCACTATTAATATAGAAGCAAAATTATGTAACTCACATATTTGTGTACGACTAATTATGCATTCTACCACTAAAAAAGCACAGGTATTTTGCTTTAGCAGGAAAACATCTCATATAATGTATTTGGACTTCTCATCTTGTGAGATAAATAAGTAAGGCACTGATGTTACCTTGTATATGCAAATAAGCAAACTGAAAAGTTTAGTGACTTGCTAAGATCACACAGACATTAAGATCCCTACTTAGGTCTTTATCCAGTGTAAACATGTAATGATATCAATCAATCAATCAACGATCAAATATATTCACAGAGTTCTCTCATGTGTCAAAAGCATTTCTGGATGATGTGAGAGAGGAGAGAAAATGGCAGCCAAATAGGCAGACCTTTTTTTTTTTTAATGCATTTTTAAAAATTCATTTCAGGGAGAGGAAGGGTGAGGGAGAGAGGTAGAAACATCAATGAGAGAGAATCGTGGATAGGCAGACCTTTCTTGTACCTCTTTCAAGGGCCAGACTGGAAATAAAGCTAAAGTGAGGAACATACACCTGGAATTACCAACTGAGGGCCAGCTGAGGAGGACGCTTGTATGAAGAAGGACAGAAAACACCTGGAGACCAGTAGGAAGGGCGAAGTCTTGAGAGGGGCTGACCCAGCAGCCCTGCGGCAGGCCAAGAGTGAGGAAGGATCACTACTGGAGGGTCTTTTCCCTTAGAAGACAAAGGCCCAGAACCCAATCTGGGCTCCACAACTCGGAGCACCACACCCAAGACCAGTGGCCATTGTAACATCCAGCTGTGAAAGGCGACAGGGCTGTTGGCTGCAGCGGAGTCCAGAGCCCATAGACCGGAGCCAGTCGGAGAGAAAACCTGTTTCTGTCCCTACCCCTAGCCCCAGAGCATAGGAATTTTCATTTGTAGCTACTTACCCAAGGCTTTGGTGCAGGGATTGCGGCGTGGACTCGAGGCGACTAAGGAGAGGGTGGAGAGGGAAGCACTGGGGGGAGACATGGAAAAGCAGCCGTCGGGAGTGCTGCATTCCGTCACAGGCTCCCAACCCGAAAGGGCCATTTTTTTCCAGAGAGGGGCTAGCTGCTCCCAATAGCTGAAGCTCAGGAAAAGGAAAAACTCTTCCCTAGGTGATATAGCCAGCCCCACCCTCAGGAGCCCTGACTGCCACACCCTGCAGCTTGACGTTTGCAAAGGAGAATGCAGCAGAGGCCAAGCCTAAGGGTTTGAAAAGTCTCAGGGAGTGTCTGTGACTGGGTTGGGGGTGGGACCATCTGCCCCATTATCCCCAGAACCTGACTGGTGCCTCCCCCATGCGGGAGAGCCGATAGAAACTCCAGGTTTCCAGCTGATCTCACTGGATTGCATACGAGGGTCTCTGCCCAGCCAAGGGCAGAGTAATATTCCAAGCTACTCCCAGAGGAGTAGCTCTGGGACAGTGAAACATATTTACCACTTGCCCTGAAATATGAACAGCACCCCCCCCTTATGGGATGCCCGGAGGTCTAGATTCCTGATTCTGCCTAAAGGCCTTTCAGGAACAGATTTTTCAGTGATTAAGAATGACACTGTCAAGCAAAGGCAGGCAGAGGCAGAGCCTGGAGAGCCTGGGGAAGCTGACTGGCCCAGACCTGCACCCCATGCTGCTAACAAACCTACTTTATAGGGTAGCTTGACCCCTTCTGCATGCAGCCAAGTCCTATGGAGACAGACGTAAACTGGGTCACTTGGAACTTCGAGCAGGTTGGTGGAAGCCAAAGGAGGATAGTTTCTGACAGTGGTTAGTACCTAAGTATCTCCCAGGAAGCCCAGAATTGGCAGACAGAACAGTCAATCAGTCATCAGAAGAGCAGGATCCAAAAGGAGATACCAGGAGGCACTAAACTCTGTTGAGATGAATACCATTTCACTTTTTTTCTTTCTCCCTCCCCCTCCCGCCCCGCCATTAAAACACATGGAGGCTAAATAGCAAGTTATTAAACAATGAATGTGTTACCAAAGAGATCAAGGAAGAAATAAAAAGCTTTCGGGAAACAAATGAAAATGAACACACAACAACCCAAAATCTATGGGACACAGTGAAAGCAGTCATGACAGGGAAGTTCATAGCATTACAGGCCTACCTCAAAAAACAAGAAAAACTTCTGATAAATAATTTAACCCTACAACTTAAATAATTAGAAAGAGAATAACAAGAAAAGCCCAGAGTAAGTAGAATGAAGGAAATAAAGATCAGAGTGGAAATAAATGACATGGAGACTAAAATACAAAAAGATCAGTTAACAAGATTAATTATAGTCAGACTCATCAAGAAATAAAGAGAAAGGACCCAAATTAAAAAACAAATCAGAAAGAAGAGGTGAAGTAACAGTTGACATTACAGAAATACAAATGATCATAAAAAAATACTATGAACATGCCCGAGTGGCATGGTTCAATGGTTGAGCATCAACCTATGAACCAGGAGGTCATGGTTTGATTTCAGGTTGTTGGCTTGATTCCCAATGTGGGATGTGCCGGATGCAGGCAATCAATGATTCCCTCTCATCATTGATGTTTCTATCTCCCTTTCTCTCTGAAATCAATAAAAATATTTTTTAAAAATGCTATGAACAATTATATTCCAACAAGTTGAACAAACCTGGACTAAATGGACATATTCCTAGAAAATACAATCTTCTAAAACTCAAACAGAAAAAAATGGTAAAACCTAAAAAGGCTGATAACTACTGATGAATTTGAAGCAGTAATTTAAAAACTTACAGCAAACAAAAGCCCTGAACCAAATAGATGGCTTCACAAGGGAGTTTTACCAAACATTCAAAGAACTAACTATACTCCTTAACTATTCCAAAAAATCCAAGAGGAAGTAACACTTCCAACCTTTTTCTATGAGACCAGCATTAGCCTAATTTCAAACCCAGATAAAGACAATACAAAGAAAGAGAATTCTAGGCCAATATCCCTGATGAACATAGATGTTCAAATCCTCAACAAAATATTAGCTAATTGAATCCAGAAATACATTAAAAAGATCATACTCCGTGACCAAGTGGGATTTATTTCAAAGATGCAAGGCTGATACAATATTCACAAATCAATACATGTGATACATCACATAAACAAATTGGAAGACAAAAATCACATGATTATATCAATTGATACAAAAAAAGCATTTAATAAAATCCAACATCCTTTTTTTAAATATATTTTTATTTATTTTTTACAGAGAGAAAGGGAGAAAGATAGAGAGTTAGAAACATCAATGAGAGAGAAACATCGATCAGCTGCCTCCTGCACACCTCCTACTGGGGATATGCCCACAACCAAGGTACATGCCCTTGACCAGAATCGAACCTGGGACCTTTCAGTCCACAGGCTGATGCTCTATCCACTGAGCCAAACCTGTTAGGGCCCAACATCCTTTTTTGATACAAACTCTCAACAAAGTGGGAATAGAAGGATCATACCTCAACATAATAAAGGCCTTATATGACAAACCTATAGCCAGCATCATACTAAATGGGCAAAAACTAAAACCATTTCCCCTAAGAACAGGAATAAGACAGGCATGTCCGCTTTTACCACTCCTATTCAATATAGAACTGGAAGTCCTAGCCACCATGATCAGATAAGAAGAAAAAATGGCATCCAAATTGGAAAGGAGGAAGTAAAACTGTCATTATTTGCAGATGACATAATATTGTACACAGAAAACCCTAAAGGCTCCACCAAAAAGCTATGAGATTTAATAAATAAATTCAGCAATGTAGCAGTATACACAATTAACACCCAGAAATTGATGGCATTTTTATACACCAATAATGAACTCTCAGAAAGAGAAACTAAAAAAACAATCCCATTTACCATTGCAACAACAACAAAAAAAATAATAAGATACTTAGAAATAAACTTAACCAAGGAGGTAAAAGACCTGTATTCAGAAAAATACAGAACATTGAAAAAAATAGGTAGAGGAAGATATAAACTATTGGAAGAATATACTGTGTTCATGAATTGGTGGACCAAGACATAGAAGGATGGAACAGACTGATGAACTCCAGAGGGAAGGCAGAGGTGGGGTAGTGGTTGGGGAGAGATTAACCAGGGAATTTATATGCATACTAGTGGCCCTGTGCATGAATCTGTGCACCAGTAGGTCACTGCCGCCCTCCTGTAGCTCCCCTGCCCCCTCCCCATAGCTTGTTGCCCTGCCCTCTCCTGTAGCTCTCCACCTCCCACTTGCTTGGTGCCCTGCCCTGTACTGTAGCTCTCTGCCACAGGCTTGTAGCCAGTAGGTCGCTGCGGCCCTCCTGTAGCTCTCCGCCCACTACCCCGCCCTCCTGTAGCCTCCCTTCCCCCTTTCCCCCTCGCCCCCCTAGCTTGCTGCCCTGCCCGCTCCTGTAGCTCTCCACAGCCGGCTTGTACCTCACTGGCCCACCCTCCTGCTGATTCGTGATCTGGTCGTGATGCCCTTGGTCATTACGCCTCAGGGCGTAACAGCTAATTAGCATATTCCTCTCTTATTATATAGGATATGCATAGTTCATGGACCCAAACAATAGCGTGGTGAAGGCCTCAGAGGGGCAGGTGTGGGGTGGATGGGGTCAATGAGAAAAAAACACAAAAGCTACATCTGTAATACTTTTAACAATAAAGATAAATTTTAAAATAAATGTCCATACTATCCAAAGCAATTCATAGATTCAAAGAAATACCTATTAAAATATTAACATCATATTTCACAAATCTAGAACAAACACTCCAAAAATTTATATGGAACCAAAAACACTCCGAATAACAGCAGCAATCTTGAGAAAGAAGAACAAAGTCAGAGGGATCACAATACCAGTTATACTACGAAGCCACTATAGTCAAAATAGCCTGGTACTGGCACAAGCACAGGCATATATCAGTGGAACAGAACTAATAAAACCCCAGAAATCAACCCAAGCCATTATGCTCAATTAATATTTGACAAAGGAGGCAAGAGAGTACAATGGAGTCAAGAGAGTCTCTTCAATAAATGGTGTTGGGAAAATTGGACAGATATATGCAAAAAAATGAAACTAGACCATCAACTTACACCATACACAAGAACATATTCAAGATGGATAAAAGACTTAAATGTAAGTTGCAAAACCATAAAAGTCTTAGAAGAAGACTTGGGTGATGAAACTCCTGAATTTTTAGAAGTCACAGGTCACACTCTAGGGCAGGGAAGGCACATGTCCCCATTTTCTATAGACCACCCTTTGTCCTGTCTCCTTGGTAAGCAGAGACCATTCATCCAACCCCTACTCACAGTAATATTTTTCTAAACAGAAAGCAATCAGATCTTGTGCAGTAAGTGACCGATCTAAACAGGATCTAAGAAAAGAATTTACTTCAAAATTGTAATAACAGTCAGGCATCAGTATTTACTACATGAATAATGAATGAATGAATGAATGAATGAATGAGCAAATGACTACTGTTAACTTCCAGGTTTACCTATTAATGCCAGTACTATTTTCATAGTTAAGTTTATCAGTGCAAATGTTAAATTATTCCATGTTCACACTTATTTTTGCTACTGAGAGAAATTTATGTTTTGTTTATGAAAACATGACCTGGAATTTCTTATCTAAATTTGTATGACTTCATTTGTATGAATTCCCTCTTTTATATTTTGTTCCTTTCTCTCAGAATGGATATAAAATAAAAGGCAGTTTATGTAGATTGTCTGTGGATTTAGGATTATGAATTAATTTTTAATTAAGCAATTTAACCTACTGTGTATATCAAACAAATTATAATTTTTCAAGGCAGTGGGGTACAATAAAACATAATTTATCCTAACTCATACTGAATATTATTTTATCTGCTTTGGATAATTTATGAAATGTATCCAGTTTTTGCAATGCCTTGAAGGCTATTATAAAAATTGTCACTGAATACTCTGAGTGAATTCGCATTTTTTGAACCATCTGATGCATTGGGTTCTGAATAAATGGAATATTGTGATACAATCCTAGCTTTACTATTTACCAGCTGCATAAAGATGGGTAATTCAGGGGAACCCAATCCCTAGCTAGTCCTCTGTAAAAGGAAGATAATAATAATAATAATCTTAATCTCAAGGAGTGAAGATTCAGAGAAATAATGCATCTAAAGTGAATAGTGTAGGATGTAGT